TCTTTATAAGCTCTGCCCTGTATTCTGATTTTACGTTCTTAATGAATTATGTGAAGTGATTTCTGCTGCCATAGATTTTTTAAGTCCCAACATTTTCTTCTTTTGCCTCTCTCACTCAGTTTATTTTATTTACACAGATGACCTCTAGGAAGTAAGCAAACAGACTTTTACCCTGGGAGTCGTACTTCCCTTACTTCCCCCAAAGTTCTGTTGTTTGGAAAATCATGAACTACTGTTTAAACTAGAATGATTTCCAGCACACCTTCTTAGTACTGCTGTGTTTTAAAGGTAGTTTAAAAAGTATAGGAGATAAGTTTGCCAAAAGAATCAGGTTCAACTAAGAAAATATGTACACTGCTTTGACTCAGTAAACTCATACTTGGTATGGTTCATCTTCTTCATATTTACTTTTGCCCATATTAGAAAACAATTAGCTTACTAAACAAATTTGAGTATTTGGGATAAAAAAATCTACTTTGAGTCTCTCTCATTTGACTAAGAATTACATGATATTTGATAAGCTTGTTTAAAAATGGACATATCCAAATATTATTGTAAACACCCATTGATTTGTTTTACCTGCAATATAAGTATTTTACTTAGTTGGCTTACATAGTAGCTAATAATATTTGTTAATGTAATTTAACTGCTGTGAACCTTTACTGAACAAATATTGAAATTTATACAAGTCAAAGAAAGAGAATCTCTAATGACTTTTGTAAAAGCTTCCATTTAATAGTTAAGGAGAAAAGTTTATATGACATACCAGATGCAATTAACAGTAGATTTTACATTTAATAAAAAGAAAGAAGCATATGTATTTGCTTTATTCATTCCATCATAATTTGCATTAGAGCTGTGGGTGTTTAATGAGCAAATTCCAGCTAAAATGCTATATTGATTTTCTAAGTGAACTTTGTAATAGCTATCTACCTTACAAAAGCTCTCTGTTTACAATTGTTTTCTTTACTAAAAACTAAAAATGTTTTAGAATTGATGAGTTTAGCATAATGATTCTTTTAAAATAAAGAGCTCTTTTAGAGTATGCAGATTTTAGTTACAAGGAGAAAGATATTATTAAATTCTTCCAAAACAAATAATGTTTATGCAACTAAATAGTAGTGCTATATTGTATATAATACAATATCTTTAAGCATTGTACACTAATCTGTTTTTCTTAACACTCTGATATTTAAGTATTTTAACTCTTTAATGTAATTATATGTGTATGAATTAGTAAATGACACAATTCATTTTAGCTTAATACTAGACTATTCATGCTTTGGTTTTGTGTGTCTTTTTCTTGCTTGAAACATGAGTTCTATAAGAATTTGTGTTTCTTCTTGACCAGGCCTCAAGACAGATGAGATAGGATTGGTTGATGTGCCACTGGAAGATGTCTCCAAGAAAAATTTTGTGGTGTTGACCAGAGAGTTGGTGACTAAGTAGCTGAATCTCTTTTTCCATTGGATCAGGCATCAAGTCAGTGTGCCAGTATGGAGCTAGTATTTTGCTGGTTAGACCATATCTTGAATTGAATTTAGGAGCCTGACTTGTTAACTCTCAATCAGTTTTTGCCTGGCATTTTTAAGAAGCATAGGGATGATAATCTGGATATCTTTACTCTTTTTAGTATAGAGGAATATGCTGTCATTTTCCCTCGTAGTTTTTAAGTGGACAACTTATACATCACATGTTTTTCTAGATATGATACAAAATATTTTGGTTTGCTACTGCATTGAAACCTAAATATGTATGCATTTCAGTGACTTATTTGAAGAATGTTGTGGTCCTTATGGTCCTGAACTGCTACTTGTGACTCATCCATACCTCAATCTGAATAGTGAATGTTATTGTTAACAACATCATTCTTTGGACTACCTGCAGTTGTGTAACTGCCATAATATTCCATATAATAGGAAAAAATTTGTAAGACATTAAATAAGAGTCAAAATTGTATAGGCATTGGATAACAAAAATGTTTGAGCTAAATTCAGAAGTTTTGGCTGGTAAAGAAATCAGGTGACTTAGCTTTCTGTAGACCATTAAAATGAGTTAGATAAGAACTTTTAAGTATTTTCTAAATAATTAATTTCTTTTGGCCAGTGTCAGTATTGCTATGTGATATTAAAATGTCATGTAGCTAAGTATATATTTTTTTAACTTAGATTACCATGCAGGCATCTTACATGATTTTCTACACTTTCCTTAATATGTTTTATATTAAACAACTGACTTACAATATTAATTTTAAGAAATAGAAGCAAAAGCCAAACACTTTTAATTGATATGAAGAGACTATAATTTATTTTTTTTAAATTTAGTTGGTGGGTCTGATCACTGGGGTATTTACTCCAATGTTTTAATTTAGTGGAAGGATAAGAAAACAAGAAAGAATTGCTCAATTTAAGTCCCTTTTCCATAGCTAATAGTTAAAAGACAGTGTTTTGTAATACACCTTTGGGTGGGGGAAGGGTTCACTGTTCAAGGCAATTAGCCTCTGGTTTACTATCAGAGACGATAAGATTTCAGATAAGCAGGATGCTTAAGTAACTTAAAAAATCTCTTTTTCTGAATGCTGTCATAGTGTTATATATACATTACTTTGGTTTAAGGACAAATAAGCAATAATCTGTTTTTTAAAAACCTGTATGGTCATTATTACCACTGGTTATAATTACATAGAGAGGAAATTAGATATGCTCTAAGTGTACTTGTATGTTCAAGATCATTGCAGGAGTCAGCAAATTTTGTTTTTTCCTGCTGAGGTGAGGATGTTTTGAGGTCTGACAGAAGAAAGGATGCACTGGAAGAAACCAGAAAGAAGTTAACTAATCTGGAAAGTAATTAACCTCAGAATAGTAATAAGTGCCAAATCTTCATTTATTTTAGACAGCTTTCTGTTCATTCCAGCAATTGTTTTCATACATAGTGTTTCCACTTGCAGCTTTATGGAAAGTGTTCTCTGTGAAGCGTCTGTCATGTTGCTAGGTAAACTGACATAATTTACTGGAAAAATTATAGAAAACAAAGATATTAAGGTATTGGTAGGTAATAATTACCATATATAATCAAACTGCTTGTGTATTCCAGATCTGGTGAGGACATAGCAGTTGTACTGTAGTTTACTTGAGCAGTCAATGCTGAGGCACTATTTTCCCTGCCATCACAGATCTCAGCAACCAAAGTGGAGGTCTGGTGAGCTGAAACACACAGCCCTCCTCATACAGTTTGATTTTGCTCTTGCTGAGCTGCCTACATTTGCAGGTATCAGACTCACTCTCTGCAAATGCTCCAAACTTAGTGCTGGATACCAACCTGTGTGCATGCAGGTTTGCAGCTGCCTTACTCTTGTCTTGGCTTTTCCATTCCTTTTGTTGGTGTTGTTGGGACACAACTTCTTACAGCTCTGGCCTGATGGTGTGAGGGGACAGACTGCGCTTTCAGAAGTAACATTTAGTCTTTTCTTGTCTGCTTTTGTCTAGTTTTCTGTTAGCTTGCAACCTTTTGCAAGACCTGCAAAAAATGCTTCCTTACTCCTCAGAGACACTTTTCCCCCCTTCTTGAGGACAAGAGGATTGCTCTTCTACCTTGAACAGCTTCCTAATTAATCTCTCCAGATTATTTAGATTATTTTTCTGTTCATCTTCTTGCCCATCTTACATCCCTGGTTATCTGAGCTGCTTATGAATTTGTAGAAATTTATCACTTCTTGTGTTTCAGTTGGCTGGGGAGTTTTGGGGGTTTTTTGGTACTGATAAAGTGTACTTTGTGCCAGCAATATCGATGCTACTGAAATGTACTACTGTGATCCTATTGTTTTATTCTGTGAAGAGCAATAAAATGTTATATCACACTATTAATTTTTTCTACAATAGTGTAAAAAAGTGACGTAAGAGCAAAATAACAAATAAAGGCAAAAAAAATAATGGCCGTTGAAGTAAGAGTGGAGGGATAAAAGCTCTAAGCTGAAGTGAAGAGGAAGGAAGCCTTTCTTTGAGGTGTTAGTTTAATGATTTAAGCAATGGTTTGGAGAGGAAGAGTTCTGAAGAGAGTAAGGAAGCCCAGCAGCAATGGCTTAATACAGAAAGTTCTTGAGAAATAAATGCCAAAATTTGAAAGAAACCATGGTATGATCTTAGGACACTGTGGCTAAACCCTGGGTTGACAAAAGGGGAATATGGAGAAAATTCTGGAACCTACGGACCTCAACTGACTTTTTTGGAGGTGCTTGTGACAATGAGAGAGGATATAGTCCTCTCTCTTAGAGTGACAGTGGTCTTACTTACGGCATCCTGAAAGTCCCTAGACATTTCAACTACGAGGTTTTATGATAAGTGTGAGGAGAGATTTGCAGAATTGCAGACGGAAAAGATGAAAGTATGAATAAAGATTTTAGCAAAGGCAGGGGCGAGGTAAGGATTCTGGCAGTGTGCCAGAGATGGTGTTAGACATATTGGCAGGGGAGAGGCAGGGAGAAAATGTAAGCTCAGGATGAGGAATGACTTGAAGGTGTTAGTTTGTTCCCAAGGATAGACAGTAAATCTTAGTTTATTGGTACCTAATGCTCCAAGGTCCATGTATGCCATAACAGATAATATAACAGTATATTACACAGTAGAGTAAAGGCTTGGCAGAGAAAGAGAGGTACCGGTTCTGCCACTCTTGTGATGCCATAGACAGACTATGAAAATACTAGAATTTTTAATATTTAATGTCTGTGTGCCATGCTGATAGTAAGCAATTTGATTGGTAGTTGCTTTAATGGATCATTGTTTTTTACTCTATGTCCTAGAAGAAACCTACTAGTGTCTGATGTTATTCTGAACTTTAAAAATTACTTTTCCGTTAAGCAAGTATTCAGAATGCCCAGCAAATCACTTTCTTGCCCTGTTAGATTTTACAGGGATGAATTTGAAAACACATAGCTTTATTTTATTCCTTAAAGTATTGATTTTAGCAATCAATGTCAAACTTGTTTGTTGAACATACTTTTACAGCTCTGGTGGAAGAAGTTTATTCTGCTCAACGAGAACGTGACGAGGCTGTCATGGCAAGGCTTAGGTTAGCCAATGAAGAGAGAGATGAAGCATTTCTACGAGTCCAGCGTTTGGAAGAGTCTCTCAAAGAGTAAGTATGCATTTCCTGCCCTATGCAAAAAGGCTGTTGTGTCAGTCTGGGACAGTCATAAACTGCTCGACAGTGGTTAGAGGAAAACTTAGCACAAAATTCTCTGTGATGACATAGACTAGGGCTATTCTTACTGTGTCATTGGTTAATTTGTTAACCATCCTGCAAGACCATATTTTTCTCTGGAGACTGAGAGCAAGGTGAATAATTTTGATCAAAAAAATATAAAATATAATCAGAAGCTTTGATATCGATTTGTTGAGGGATAAATAAGATGTATGTGATGTTTTATAGGGATCTTTTGACACAGAGAAACAAAATGTCAGTCAAAAGTTGCAACATATAGGAAATCAATCAAGCCTTTAAGCCCCCAGCCATTTCCTTCCATCCACTAATGATGCGGATGATGTAGTAAAAATATATAGGTTTTTCTTCTTCTCTTTGGTGAGAAGCAGTTTGCAAGGCCATAATGGTACAATTAATAGTTCATAGAGTTTTATGTACACCATGTTAACACAACAAAAATAGGCAAGCTCACTTTAATCAAAACTATCAAGTCAGGAGAGAAAGATCAAGAATGGTTTGTTTTCTCTCTTTGGGATATAGGCAGCTTTGAAGTTTGCCTCTCCATGTAATCCTTTTCCATCTGAGTTGTGATCGTCTTGGTTATTGCCTATGTTAGTCCGCCAAAGGGTAGTCCCCTAAAGTCTAGAGTGGCTGAGAAATTTTCTTATTTTTCTGCCATGAGAAATACAAAGCAAACAAGTTTTTTGTGGTAGAAGACTGGATAGGTGCCATTGTTAGTTAACTTCATGGCAGGCAATTATGTTTTAAATGATCGATTTTATGAAAAACCCTCCTCTTTAAGGAAGAAAATCAATCATCTTCTTTTGGGTATTTTTATAGGTAGGGCCAGAGAATGTCATTTTAACTAATTTCAATAATCTATACATAGATTGTGCACCATTACTAGAATTTATAAATTGCTAGAGTTTGGCATAGCCTCACTGTTTGTCAGCGTAAATATGACTCAGCAGCAGGATTAGGAGATTCCATACTCACAAGAATTAGTGGACAGTTTGATAAATATCTTCACAGAGCCCATTATATGTGTATATGCATCTGAAATCTTGCCTTAAACAGCAGTCTCTGAGGAAATTACAGATGAGCTTTAAATTCCCATGAGAGGTATTTGATTGTAAACCTTACTGGGGTCTCTATTTTTTTCTGTCAGTCTTCTAACCTTTTATGTTCCAAGAATAAGGAAAGGTTTGTATGGCTCCAAACATCAGTTAAAACTGTGCCTGAAGTGCTAGCATAAACTCAAGTTCTTTAAGCTTAAAGCACTCGAGTCCTGCAGAAAATTAATTATTCTGGCCAACAAACCTAGTTAATAACTCCTATGTTTCTGGTGTATTGCTGCTTTTTCTACAGTGGAATCCACAGACAAATGTGTGGCAATTCTTGACACAAATGAATCCCTCAGAACACCTTCACTTGTTTTCCCTTCAGTCGCTTCTGTCTCCTTCATTCATGTACTGGAAAAATAACTTTGTTGTAAACAAGACGATGAGAAAAGAGAAGAAATTCCATTTCTCAGAGAACATTTGTAGTACCTTCCTCAAAAGCATGTAATTGCAGAAAGGACTGGTTACACTGATAATGGCAAAAATAGTACTTACTCCCTGGAGAGTGTCAGTAACTCCCTTGACTGATAACTTGGAACAAAGATGCTACACTTTATTGCTATCATTTACAGAATAGCAATTGTTGTGGCTGTCATCCACTTGGGTGTTTTTTCTGATGCTTTATAGGGAGGTCTGCTACCCTGATTCTATTCCCAGTCTCAGAATTGGCATAGGAGATTTCCCTGTGGAGAACACCAACTTTCTTTTCTAACTACCACCCTTAATATTTTCTTCCTTCCCTGTGGTGGTTGTTCAAAAGGTCAAGTTTTCTGTCTCAGACATGGAGCACATAGAGGTTTGTTTTTGTTTAAAGAACGTTGGCTATTTGTGCCACACTCATCAAGTTTTAGAGCACAGGTCACTTCTTCCATCTGCTTTGGACTTATTCCAATCAGAGAACTTTACAAGAGGGCAATATTGAACAGCCTGCCAACCTTTATCAAGTGCTTTAATGCCTTCTTTAAATTAGTAGCTGGAGCAATTCTGTTGTCATTATTTAACTGCAACAATCAAAATTCTTTCAGCCCTGCTACCCCTAGGGGTTACATTAGCAGAATGTGTTTAGAAATGAGGGGAGAAGGAATCCTTGGTTACTGCTCTTTAAAATTATGAGGTTTTCACTCATTGCCTGTGCACAGCACAAGGAGAGGTAGCAGGGCAAATACACAGCTCTGGAGGCTACTTTTTTTAAAGTACTATCTCCTAAGGAAATAGTTTGTGTACCTACAGACAGATCCCTTGTGGCAGTAGTATGCTAAAGATATGCATATGGCAGAAGTTCATGTTCTTTCTCCCACTCCCTTTTCTCCCTAATGTGTCTTGCTTACCCAGCCTGTTGGTCGGCTGGGTGATTTTGTTGACCCGCGCTTTTAGCAGGGTAGAAGTCCTCTGGAGAAGCCAGGTCAGTCCTGCCAATTTGCTTTGACAAATACTGTTCCTTTCATTGTGAATACAAACTAGCTGGAGATCCATTTTTAAGTCCCACATGAAGTGGCACTTAGAGAAATCTAAAAACCTAAAGCAGGAACTCTACAAGGAGCCAGTTCTGAGAATTTGGAATGTATTATGTTTCTTATTTTATGATTTATGTTACTTTATGAATACAAGTCAAACCCAGAAAAGGTTAGCTTTTACTTTATTTTGCTTAGTTCTGTTGCTGACTGTGTTGGAGTAGTTGTTACTTGTGAAGGCCGTATAAATTTGCCAGCTGTTGCAAGCATTCTGAAATACTTCCTTTTTATTTAAAGAATTAATTTCTCTACTGGTTGATTTACTATGCCTTATGTACTGGCATCCGGTAAAACTAATGCTTTAAAGGAAAAGGTGCTAGTGTGCTGTCAAGTGTTCTATGATGTTTGCTAGCTAAAATCGTGGCTTCAGAGCAGCGCCTGTCACAGCACTGTTGAAAAAGTGTTGCTGTTTAGAGAATGTTTAATATACCTGTTTTTTAAAATATCATAGGATAGGGGCAGACCTAATTTTACTTTAAGTCACCATTAAGTAAATAACCGTGGATTGGTAAGGTAACTTTCACATGCTTATTTTTCCAGAAAAGAAATGTCTGTCCATTTAACTAACCTTAGGTAAAATAAAATGTGTACTAACCCATTTATTAGATTTTTGTGCTATCACTTACTGCTTTTGCACAGCCAGTGTTCAATGCTGTATGACTAAATTCCTCGTATCATCTTTGTATTTGACAGGTCAATATATGTTCTGTTGAAATAGAAAGGGAGGAAAGTTCAGACGGGTTTGTTTCAGAATTAAATAAGGGCCTTGCAGACAATTGGCTTAGCTTCCTATTTTATGCAAGATATAAAATCAAAATATTTTTAAGGAAACTTCAACTGGGTTTTTTTCCTCATTTTGGAAGAGAGAGGTACAAAAAGAATTACTTAAAAATGAAAATAAAATCTGCACAGTAGTCACGTTCTGTTACATTTGGGGTGCAGTAAAAACAACAAAAATACATCAGGTAAAAGTTGTAAGCCCAGAAATAAATAAAATAAGAGCATCAGTCATTTCTATCGCTGGGGAACTTTCTTCATCTAAGCACATATGAACAATTGATCCTTGTAGTCATATATAGCAGTAAACATTAATAACTTAACAGTCTGAAGTCAGTGCTGAAGATATGGAGCATTATTGAAAGATGGAGTCGAGCAGGTGGCACTTTAATATGTTCAGTGTCATGGTTGACTCTAAAGACTAGTAGAATGAAATTACTTGAGGTTCTAAAGATTTAAAAAGCGAACTCATTTTGCTGCACTAAGGAAATGCTACTGATCAGGCTTTCTGTGTCCCTTTTTTCTAGGCTAGAAAATATTAACCCTGAAGAAAATGACATGGTAAGCCATTCTCTGAGGAGATTTCTTGATGTCAGTCTTATATCTTAGAGGCTTAAGTTCAATTGAGTGGGTTTCAAGAACTAAGATGTGGGAAAAAGAAGAATTGACACACTAATAATGTACATCTTTGCTGCAATATGAAAATTCAATAACTTCACTCAGTCAATTTACAATTCACATGTGCCTATTAATTAAAACCCTATATTAAATAAAATATATTAAAACTTCATGTCTGACTAACATATAATGCTGTTGGTAGACATTACAGGAATTACTGAACAGAATAAACAATGCAGACACGGGGATAGATATACTGAAGAATGGAGCTATAATTCTGAACCGAATACACAGGACCAAAGAACGTAAAAAGAAAATAATAGCTGAGGAAATGAATGCAGTAATAGAACAACGGGATGCTGCTTTGTCTCAAGTAAGTCTCTACAAGTATATAATCACTCAATACCAACATTTCTTTTTTCCTTTTTTTTTTTTCCTGATCTTTGGAGAAGAAAATTATTTCATTTAACTTTCTCTATTGAAAATCTCCAAGGAGAAATTTTTCTTCATGGTGGTAGTGCCCATTAAAATGGCATCCATGTATTCATGAGAAAAGCTAGGTTTGTATTTTTTGCACTTCATTACTAGCTGTCTTCTTTTTAAAACAAAATAGTTTTCTTTGACTTGACCAATCCAAAAAGCTATTAAAGGCTTAGTTTTGCAGTATGTTATATTGGTAAAATGCATTGGATGACAGTTAACTAGTACGGAAGGATGTAAATGGCAAAAATTTACAATAAAGGGAGGTAACAATACCACATGCAACAATGCAAGCAATTCCTCCCTTTGTTGCTTTACATTCAGGAGATAAAAATCAGCATGTGGTCCTTGACTCTCTAAGTCTTACCCATCTGCTACGTGACTTGAAAGAAGCTGGGTTCTTTTTTCTGCTCAGATCAGTCATTCCCTGCAATTTCCTATTTTAACAGAACAATAATTGTCTTTATTCTCTCCACTGTAAGGACAGTCTCCTTGCTTTTCCCATTTTGTGAAAGAATTTTTCTGTTGTTTTTTGGTTCAGGTTGGTTTAGAGTTTTTTACCCACCATTTTTCCCTTGAATTTTAACCTAGATTTAACTCAATAGGAGCAGGTTGTAGGGAGGAACAGTTGAAGTAGGGGATGTATCTCCTGAGAAAAGATTTTAGACTGGATGAACCTTCTTATGTATTTATGCCAGGCAAGAAATTTCATCTGACTCTTCCAAGATTGAAGATTTTGATTTTTATTGTGAGTTACCAAAGTTACCTCACATCTAACTAATTTCTGCTGCATTTAAAGTCAGGTTTGTGATCTTTAGTGGTATCAATAATGTTGATGAATTTGTGTTGTATTGAGAAGTCTTCTTATAAAAGTGTCTCCTATACATAAACTGTAATTTTCACTTTTTGTTGTTGTTTTTTCATTCTTTCCTACTTTATCCTTGGAAACCCCATCTGTCTGATGCTTAAAATATTTTGTGCCTCTGTCACATGTGTATTGTGAAGGATGTTAATGTATTGATAGTGGTATTTTACTTTTTCAGTCCACTTTTTTCAATTTTATAGTAATAATGAGTAGCATAGCTACTGAGAAATATCCAATAGTCCTGCCAAAAGTTTGTGTTCTTTCTTCTTTGCGCAGGGCATTTGAAAAGTGAGCAGCTTGCAAGAGAAAAGCTTTTTACAAAAGAGGAGGATCCTTTGATATTTTATTTTCATTTTGTCAGTTTTTGCTTATTTGATGAAGTGCGCTTTCAGGCATATTTGGACCATAAAACTTCTATCAGTGTCATAAGAATATCATTGTAGAGCATTTAATATATGTTTTAATTTAATTGATTTTAAGCTGCCTGTTTAAGGAGTAATCTTTTCCAAGTAATCAGCTTGGCAATTAATAAAGGTAATGATTGTAGATGATAATGACTCAAGCGTCACCACTCTCAAAGCCATCTTTAGGCGTATCAGCAAACAGCACAGGTAGATGCTGCAGCTGAAAAAATAGGCTAATAGAATAATAAATCCTCACCAAATGAAAATTTCAATATTTGGTATTAAGCTATAATACTGTGATACCATTTGCAATTTATACCACAATTGTTTTAAATTATTATTAATAAAATTCTATTAATCATGTGTTTTCAAATATATGTTACTGTTGAATCTAGAAAATAGGTCCTTTGAATTGAAGCTATCATTTCAACCCGTGTTGCTCACTTGATGATTCCTTGGGAATTCGTACCATACTTGAATTATTAGTAGTCTTTTGTTAACATTGCAATAGCAGTAGTTATTACAGTGCTAACAGCAAGAACAATAGGAGAGGGATTCCTACATTAGACCACAAAGGGACTAGATATAATTCAGGGGATATATATGCTTAGCATAACAAATGCAAATTATTGGAAGTTAGATCTGGGGTTGCCTCAGGCATTCATAACATCTGCAAGTTAAAATCTTTTTCTTTTTGGTGGAATTGTCATCAAATATGAGAGGGGGAGATTGATGAGAGCAGGCTGAGACAAAGCAGAAATAAAGTAAATCATTAGCATGGTGTGGCTGTCCTGTTTTTAAAGTTGAGAGGTCACTGGGCAATAGAAGTTAAATGCTTCATGACACAAAGTGTGAACACTGGATTGCTCTGTTCCTGCTTGCTGTTGTGTGGTGCTAGAGACAGCAATGTCATTTGAGTGACTACCATAACCAGTTCCATATGGCAGAGAGCTACTGTTGTACGGTAACAAGGGTTTGGACTGACTGTGTTAAATGAAGCTACGTCTGTTACTTTTCTCTATGATCTTTTTCACAATAGCCTGTTTGACAATTGAGCAGAGTGAATATAAGTAAGGTCTAGCTTTTGGGGTTTTACTTACAGGATTTCTAATTTTTCTGAGTGAGAAACAATAACACAAAGCCTTTGCAGTTCAAACATGTTTTGATTTCAAGTGAGGGATAGATTACATTCCTAGAGAATGGACATTCTACAAACTGCATTTCTTATAAATGCAGAATACTTCCAAGTAGTCTTTTAAATGCGGTTTTATAATGCTTTTTCTGGTAGGTACATTACTAAGGTGCATTTGACTGGACTGCTGTTGCAGCATACTTGACGATTACCTAGTTGGGATTCTTCTACTTGAATTTTTCTTGAATTATTTTTTTACCCTTCAAAAAATGGAGAGCATTGTCTATGGTCTAAGATCATGAAAATGTAGGTTTTTTGAGCTGTAACACCCAAGAACCTCTGCATATTTTTTTAGATTTCCGATGTGAATGTTATGTCTTACTAGGAAGCAGATAGAGGCACTTCTATCACTGTGTTGAACTGTGCATGTGTATGTAATCTTAGATCTTTCACTACATTGCTGAGCAAATATGCAAACTACTTTTTGTATGTGTGAAAACAATCAAATGGTATAAACTCAAATATTTGGTACTACTTTTAGTATGTATTTTCAAGTGAATAACAAACAAATAACTAAAGCATGGCTAAACATTGACATCCACCTTCTCCTGTACCAACCCCCTTAAAAAAACAAACTCAACTGTTTGGTTGTATTTGCTAAGATATGTTTGTTAGTGAACAGATATTGTGTGATACTGAGAATCTTGAGTATGTTTTATGACTGATCCCCTGAAAGAAAATGGAGAAGTATACTGACTGTTATGAGAAATAAAACATCATCTCCTCATCTGTAATGTTTGGTTTTATCTTAACCCAGTCAAGGAAAAAACTCACTTTATCAGTTGATTGAAATATACTTTTACCTTTCTTCTAAAATCTTTCTTGCTTGAATAATCCAATTAGTGACAGACATTTAGTATGGCATACTCACATAGTGTGATATTCCTTAAATACTCTAAAGAAGTGGTTTCCAGCAGGAGGCAATACAGTACAATGTCTCAGCCAGCTATTAGCCACATCACACCTTATGGACAGGAATGTTGATATCATTACAGGGTTGGCATCTGAAGACTTTGGTAAGTCATTACAGTTCCTTTTCTTCTGGTTTAAAGAAGAAAGGAGATCTTTTAATTGGTACAGCTGGAAGAAAATGATTTTTTTTTAGAGTTCATAAAGAGATTAGGAGATTGTATGTTTGATATGTTTTCAGGCCTAACTAATTCTGTAAAGGTAGGGGCATTTAATTCTGTCAGTTCTATACAGAGTTTAAAATATTAAGGATGTATAATTTGCTTTTAAGGAAAAGCAGTGGTTTCATGGCTGGCAAAGTATGTCATCTCTGATCTTGAAGCAATACCATAACTGGCAAGCAAACCTGGTTTTACAGCTCTGAATAGTTTGATCACATCCTGTTGTGCAGGAACATGCTTATGACTGTTCGTATAAAAATTGGCATGCACCCAGCTGCTCATCTGAAGCAAGTTTAAGTACCCTTCTTCATTTTGAGGCACTGTTTGGCAGAAGTCGGCACTTTATCATCGTTGAAAACAATGATGAGATGCACTGTGCTTGACTGCCCACCATTATCAGTTTCGACTAATGACTAATAACTAATATATGTCTGCACTTATAACAAACCAGCCTCTTGCTAACGTTTTTTTTATATTCTGCTACAGCAGTTTTTCTCCTTCTACACCAAGTAACGTCTAGAGCTCTGTGTTATCTGTGATTCACAGGCATTCTCAGCATACATGAGTGAACAAGTCTTCTTGGGTTAATAAACCCAAGAGCTGTATGAAGTGTAAAACAACAAAACCATATGTAAATGGGAAAAAATTGGGTCCTTAACTGAGTAATACTCAGGTGACAGGTTGCAATGCCTCATGACTCTTATCTTAGGATAGAGGTGGTGCCTTTGCAACGCAAACAGTTTGGGGTGTTATTTTTAGTAATTTGAGTATCAACAGTTCAGGTTTATACTCTGTGTGTTGTTACCCTTTGACACTGCCTGGTTAAAGATACTAATCAAGTTCTTGGCTAGCAGAAGCACATCTGATGATGTCCTCCTAGCTGCTCTGTCAAGATGCTTACCCTGCTTTTCCCTTTGCCACTGATATTCGGAAACAGAAAAAGAAGAGGTAGGACACTGCATTCACAGTTGTTCATGAACCAGGCAGCTGCTGTTGGGTATGGATGATTTCGGTCATGGGCTTATTTGAGGAGGAAAGTAAAGGTAAAGGAGATGTTTATTGTACTTTGAGGATCCAAGAACCATGTTGATTCTTTCTAATGGCTGGTTTCCATTGGTGAGGCAACAACAAGTTGAACAGCAGATGAATGACATGCAGAAATTACTTGCCAGCAAAAGAGAGAGGACATCTATCTGCAAGTTGCCCCTTTTGCACTGTGAATTTAGTCCAGATCCTGAAAGAAAGCAATAGGGATATGGAATAAGATATAGAGAAAAATTTAAAAGAATAATGCTTTGAGAT